GGTATCAACTAAGTTTAGAAGAAAGAAATCAGGATGATAAAATATAAAGATCAATGCAAACTAATAAAACAACGGAAAGAACTAATTACGAAATGCAGATATAGAAATAGATTCAAAATTACATAAGAATACAGGTGTATATATGTGGGGTGTATGTATGCATATAGTGGCATATATGTATGGACATGTAAATGTACCTATATTTATGTATAAGGTATATGTGCATATAAGTGTGTTGGACAACATGATGTATTCCATTTGGTGCTCTGGTATTACCCACATTCTATAAATCTATAATTCAACTAATTTACAATAATCATAACGGGTTTAAGTTTAAATCCCCTATCGCTTATTAATATTATTGGACACCGTTAGTACAATAACAATTTATTGTGAATCCCAGAAGAAAATATACTTGAGGATCGTATAAGAAACGCCACATAGTAGGAACTGATATTTAACTACAAACAACGAAATGTTCTGGCCATAAATAAAGACCAACCCCAGACCGCTGACCCTGGGATAAGAACCTTACGCCCCCACCAGTCGCTAATACAATCCCATTCTCATTAAAACGGCATCTACCAGAGGACTTACATTGAAAATAAATTTAAAAAATGGTCAGAGACAGACACTTATGGGCTGATGATAGCCGCGCAGAGAATGTCTTGAAATAAACATATTGAGGGTTTTTTTTTTTTTTAATTTTTGCTGTAAAAATGTATATGCGCTGTTATATTAAATACATCGAGTTCTCTGTGGATCACTTTAAATAATAATTATTACTAGGATTCATCCAGATTATATAACAATTTTGTTCTTAAATTCTACGTTTTGATTTATATATAAATATGTATATGTGTGTGTATGTGTGTGTATATGTGTATATATGTACGAATGTGTATATGTATATATATATATATATATATATATATATATATATATATATATATATATATATATATATATATATATATTAATGTATGTATATGTAGGTAGATGTGTATGTAGATGTGTTTATATGTGCGTGTGTGTATGTTTAGGTATGTATGTATACATATATAACAGTATATGGGTGAATATGCATGTATTTATGTATAGTTGGATAGATAAAGGGATACGTTGTTTATTTGTTTAGATGGGTGTATGTAACTGTATCGAGATGTAAGGTTTTATGTATATATGTTTATATGCACGTATGACATATATCAATATATATACAATTAATTATACTGTTGCTTTTTATCGCAACATGACCGAATCAGAAGATGCGAACTACATGTGTAACATGGTCTTGGCAAGACGGATGTGATTAATTTGCCATTCTTTATTACTGTGGAAGTATTCCTAATGTATTGATCAGAGAATTCATCGACCGAGAACATGATAATAAACAACGTGAGCAATGAACTGACAATTAATGCAGAACACACACACACACACTCATGTATATATATATATATATATATATATGAGATGATCCAGTCTCATCATAAAAAAAGAATTTACTGAAATAAAATTATTTTTCTTACCATGCTGGATCATCAACATTATCAATGTAGTTCTTTGTGTCTCATAACAGAATGAAAAATGTCTGTTCACGTTTGGTTAAATCTCGTTTATGTACTTTCGAAAGATGGATTCATGCAAACAATTTCGGTTAAGTCCAACTAAAACGATCTGTCCGTTTCATCTTTTTAATTATTTTTTTCTTTTTCGAATTAGATGTTGAAAGTTGGGATTATAGTTGTAGACAAACTATCAGATGCTCATCTATCGTTATGTCTCAGAACAAGCAAAGTCAGTGAAGTAGAAAAGAATTGTCATTTTCTAGAGCGCTGGAATTAGAATGAGTCCCAAACGTGATATTTTACAGCTATTCTAATATGCATATAAAATTATCTGACGTCTGTTAGTCCGTCGGTCACGCCCACTAAAATAGTCATACATTGAATGACTGAAACCGCATTTTGCAAATACGTAATACGTACAATGTACAATATACAGTTCGTTTTACTAGTGTGTGTAGCTTTTCATTAATGCTTAGTAAAAATTCATTGTTTTATTATTTAACATACAAAATACTACCACAATTTAAAAATAAATTAATGATTAAAATAACAATTACGTATTTAATAAAAATGCAATATTGTTTTTTTTTGCATATCTTTTCATTAAAATTTATATAGAAGAATCCAGTTCCCTGCTCACCCTACGTTTGCGAGGAATATAAAAAGAAATGACAGACGCTTCAAATAGTATGGTTAGAGAAACTATATTTAACTATGGCCAGTTGCATGCTTAAGAGTAAGAAATCCTAAGAATTTATTCTCCACCACCAAAAACGAAAAAAGCATTTCCTTAAAAAATATTATATACCATAAACCCCTATAGGATAGAATTAAATTTAAAAAAAAACATATTAAACCGCGAAGTAAGGTTTTCGTTAAAGTATATATTTATAAAAAAATCAGGTTATTCAAATTTCATCGATTGTTTCGCGAAATTGAACGAAAAATATTTTGCGAAAACTCCAGTATACTAAATACTGTGGGGTTTTAATATGCGTCAGCGTATTGCAAAAAAAAAAATCTAGTCATATATATTTACTGCTTCTTTTGATTTAGAATGGATGTTTATTTTTACTTAATTTTTCTAAAGGAAGATATATTTTTCTGGTTTTTGACAAGAGTTTGGTGGAAGTTTCCAAAGTTTCCTTTGGCTTTTCGAGTTCCTAAAACGAGCAGCATGTTTTTCTCTGTATATGCCTATGGATTGTATGGTTTGTCTTTGTTTTCGTATCTCGTGTCTCGAAATAGATCTTTGATAGCTTTCGAATGTCGTGTTAAAAATAACCTAATTGCTTAATAATAACATTCTTCGACATCATTCTTTTTGTGCATATATCTTCGAGACTATCATTTTATGCATCTATATATGGGCAAACAGTGAAATGGAAAGAGAGACAGAGTGTATGACAGAGAAAGGATCAATAATATTGTTGTGTGTCACAGCAATAAATGATGTTTGCTATGCATTTCTAACCGCATAGTGTTCAATATACAAGTAGAAAATTAACTAGTTGGATTTCAGGACGGATTAATCGATGGCGTCGTTAGGGCTCGGAGAGGCGAGCTTGAATTCTATTCGAGATCATTATATGAATTTAAGCGCAAATACATTTAGACAAAGGTATAAATCCAACCCTTCTCCCCGCAGCTATGAACAGACAGGATTCTATAGCCTTGGTTGGCGACAAATTTAGGAGAAGGTAAGCTCTGAATTCAAAACCCGTCTGGAAAGTACTGTGCGCCGTCTTGTCATTGCTACTGTGGCTCTCGCATATGTTGGGCTTCTACGACCCTATGGGCCTTGGGAATCGTGATCATGAATTGTAAAATTTCTCATTGTTTTATTAGTAAATTACTTCATTGATGAAATGAAATGAAATTCAGTCATAACAGTTGTTATATATATATATATATATATATATATATATATATATATATATATATATATATCAGTTTGACGATCGCTAAAGATCAGTTTGTCTGACGGTCGCTAAAGCTTGAAACCCAGGTCACAAACTCACATCTATCCAAAATATATATATATATATATATATATATATATATATATATATATATATATATATATATATATATCAAAAGAAAATACGATATGCAACTGTAATTCTCATTAAAAGAAAATACTTTATATGTGAACATCAAAATACATTCATCAAAATGCCGTCAGACAAAAAAAAATACCTTGAACGTTAAATTAGTTTGATCAACTTTTTACAAATGTTGTTTACAAACTTGTAAATCTTTAATTTCTTTTTTGTTAATATGTTAATATGTAGAACGTTTAACTGAATTTAACGCCAAAAATACTCCCCGGCTAACAAGGATCCAAATATGAACAGTAGGAAAGTAATGCATAACAAACTTGCTAACTAGTAATTGTTGGTCTATTTCCTTCCTGTAATAATTTACAGAAATCTCAGATACTAGCAAGAGGAAAAAAGCAAGGTACTTATAAGATAAGTCCTCTAATGTCCTAATTTACTTCATAAGACAGGTGGACAGACATGGTTAAAATATTTAAAAAAATCGAAAAAATGAATAACATAGATAACATTGGGAGGTACGATGGAGTATGGATAGCGGCTCGGATTGAGGAAACGAAGAGCCGAGTTCGAATTCTAGTCAAATCCATTACATTCACTAACGTGCTAATACCATTGGGAAAGGTATGAACCATTTCTTCTCCCTCCAGTTATGGGTAAGTAGCAGGACAGACTGGGTACTATAGCCTTGGGTGGCAACTGGTCTACTGCAGAAAGAAATGGCAACCTACAGCATGGAAAAATGATCTGTTTCGTCAGTTGCATATCGAAAGATACATGATCGCCTAAGCGGGTATCACGCATGGCACATGACTGATTGAAATAACCTTCATAAACTAAACACATACTGCTACCTGTTAAATCAATAACCTTTACAGTTGAAAAGAATTTATATAAATTTAAAATCGTTAAAAATAATTTTAAAAAAAATCAACTATGTACTGTCTCCCTTCAGAACTTTGTATGATTCTCAACAAGTCACTGTCCTCTTAATAAATTTTGTCTTTTTGTTATCTCTCCTGAACCCTGTTTTGCCATCCATTTCGTTAGTTAGGTTGGGCATTGTTTTTCTATGACCCTCTTCAATTTGTCCGATGAGTATGAAATTTCCAAGTCATTTCCATCATTATGTGACGTAGAAATCTCAACTGTTTCTTTCTTCTGTTAAATAGATATCTCCTTGTAGTTTTCATTTTCTCTAAAACTTCGTCGCTGCTCACATGTTCGGTGCATAGCTTCCTCAGCATCCTGCAGTAGAACCACGTTTCGTTTGCTTCAAGTCTCTTCTTCATCTGTGAGGAGATTGGCCATCATTCACTGCAAGGAAAAATTTGAAGTCTTACGGCTTATAGCTACATCACATCGAAACAAACACCACTTCCAATTCGATCACCGAAGTTAAACAACATCGTGCCTGGTCTGTACCTTGATGGATGGTCGCTTGGGAATATCAGATACTGTAAGCTTGAGTGTTCGGTTGGTGTAATGGGTAATGGCTCCGTGTTTTAATTGGAGACTTGAATGCTGGACAATCTCCTCACAGATTAAGAGACATGAAAAAAAATGTGGTTCTACAGAAAGATGCTGAGGATACCATGGACCGAACGTATAAGTAACGACGAGGTTTTAGAGAAAATGGAAACAAAATTTTACTATAAATTTGTACCGTTGATCTTTGTTTGGATATTCACTATTTATCCATAGTTGGGACCCTAAAAGGGGGCTACCACACCGAGCCAGGGGGAAACTGGGAACCACAACATTTAAGAGGGGGCTCCACGCTGCTCAGTACCTCTAGCCTCCCGATCAGAAGCCTTTCTGACGGATGTTTTTGTCTTCATACCTAATACAATGAGGAATGACGGCTTGGAAAATCGGATACTCACGGGACGGAGTGAGGGAAACAGGAACAGAAGAACTCAGCGCGTAACATACTCTTGATGGGATTTAGTAAATGGCTAGAAGAACAGGGTATGTGAGACATAACAACAATACAAACATTATAAGAGATAAAATTGAAAAGATGTGGACGGTCATGATCTCCTACGTCCTGAAGGGGCACAGCACAATAAGAAAAGAAATAAGAAAATCCCTAAATTATTATCTCCAATAAAAGAAAATATTTACTATCTAAAATATTTTCTGGCTTTAAATAACCTACAATAATTTGATAAGTTGTAGAAAACGAATGGACCAATCAATCAAAAATATTTAAAAAACTGAAAAAATTTAAAAACTGTTCCAAGTAATATGTAAATGAAGCATCAAGGAATTTAAGGAAAATACTATATGGATATAAAAGGAATATTTACAAAAAAAATGTGTCGTTCATCGTAATTGATTTGGTCATAATTTCCATTTCCTGAATATCGGTTGATTAAAAGAGATAGTAATTTATTGACTCGAAAATATATTGAAAAGAAAAATCATAGAGGAAACATATACGATAAGTTTACATCGAAGATCTTATCACATTTTCTTGATACAGGTACGATAAGGTGGGAGGATTAAAAACAAATAGAGAGAATAATGAAAAATAAAAGTAAAAGCGATGAAAACCTGGTTGAAATTGTTTAAACTATAAAAATCTATATATAAACAGACGTAACTACTTAGAAATAAAGCTAGGTACCTCTGTATTTTTAAAAGATTCGATGTAAAAAAGGCAGCCGACTTGTTGTATTTCTCACCCTACATCCGAGTCACCTACAAATCCAATGACTTATATTAGTTCTTATATGTTACAGATAAAAAACAAGAAGCCTGTTTACAATGACGTCGACTAAAATAAACGTGTGTCCAATTAATCTCACTGAATTCACAGACAGAGAAATAATTGCATCTTTTGAGATTCATCTATACTTGCACAAATGCGACGGAAAACAAAAAAAATAGATGTTATCATTTGGCTATTTGGAAAGACGTTTCAGCAGTAGTGTAATGAGATGTTATTCGCTTCCTCAGGAGTGATTTTTAATGAGCGTTGTGTGAGGGCATTTTGTCTAACGATGGCGTAAATCGTAATAGCGATGGTAAGACAAACAAGGCATCATTCTGCGCTCATTAAACCGAACAGTGAGCGTTATTGACGTTTGCTTGTATATTTATAAATCTGCCATTCGACCATACATCGAATATTGCTACCAGATCCATTATGTTGTTCTGGATATATATATATATATCTCGATATTCACGAAAATATCCAAAGAAGGCCTGTAATGCTATCAATCCTGACCTGTGTTCTTGATTTCAGTTACTTTCCCACGGTCATTCCCTTTGGCTTTTCTATTGATATATTCACAGTAATTGCTCTTATGAGCTCTCCTGATGGATATGTAGGCTGCATGCATTTACAGATAATACTAGATTGGCTGTTAGGTCTAATCGTTCTACTATTGAAATAGGAAGATGTAACTGCAAGTTCTCTTTAAATACTTACCTTTCTTGCACTTACCACCTGTGGAACTCTCAGACGGTTTCTTGATTCCCTGTCATATAAAATCTTCAAAAATATAAATTAAACGTCAATCGCACAATTCTGTTTCCATGAGAATTCTTCATTTATTGTTCTTTTCTTCAGCAACGCCTTATTATTTTCTTTCAATATCTAACAATTTGCGTCTTGTGGCTAACTGAAAGAATTAGAAAAAACAAGTTATCCACATTTGGGGATGAGTAGGCGCCGAGTAATGAGAGCAGCCTTCTTCCGAAGGAAAGTTAATGCTAGCTCCCAGGCCATTTCTCAGGCCATTTCTCAAGCCGTGAACCATGAGCTTAATATTCATTTTCGTCTTGGATCTGGCGATAATCTACAGCCGGCAGAAAGGCCTCTGATCGAGAGATTGCAGTTTTTGAGAAGCTCTGAACAACCTCTAAATTGATGTTGTTCCTAGATTCACCCTGGCCCGGGGCGTGGTAGCACCTGTTAGTGTCCCAGCTATGAGCAAATATTAAACTCCTAAACAAAAATAAACAGTATAATTTTATAATAAAATTACCAACAATACTTTAGGAGCTGCAAAAATACATGTAAAAAAACATACCTTTAGTCAGAAAGATCATGTACAAAATATCTGTAGTTAGAAACAAAAAAGTACATACAAAATATTTGGCTTTTGGCATTAAATAACCCAGAAAGATTGATATGCCACGAACAAAATCAACCAACCAAGCAACCAACATGAAAGATTTCTTTCCATATACTTCATATAGTATCCTAGAATTTCCTGAAGAAATCAAACTGTATTCCAAAATATAACTTCAGAAAACTACAAGGTAACTCCCATATTACCGCCTGTAGTAATCATGTCCACATAAACAGGCATGTGCCCAAAAGCTGAGTATCATATGCCATTCATTCAACTGTGAAAGTAAAATGAGATATATTTTTATTACTTCAAAGCTAAAAGACATTGAAGTTTGGCATTAAATGACCCATAAGTAATTGATATGCCATTGAAAAACACATCAATGTATCAATATTGTACCCGATATGTAGATCAATTCAATTTGTTCAAATTCTGGTGCAAAAGATAGCTATAAACCCACCAAAGCATTGCACAAATTAGATTCGAATAATGATTATTTCTTGTAATATAAATATAGAATGCTTCTCCTTTGAGCACTTATATTTCATATAGTCATCCTGATTATCGTGAAAAACCGTCATCACATTCACAAAAATAATTACTGATGTGAATACAACTGAATCCTACACTTCAGAATTATTTCAAACTTCAAAATGAACGCTGTGCATCTGATTTTTATAATCAATTTTAATGAATTACCCTCACTTAATTTTACTCACCGTCCTGAGTATGACGATAAACTACATCCGCGTCCTGGATAAAATGATAAACTACGTCTAACAGCAAGGTCTCTGATCAGTAGGTTTTGAGGAGTGTGGAACCACCTCTTAATTGTTGGTGTTCCCAGGTCCACCCTGACCCTAGGTGTTAGCACCTGCTAGGGTCCAAGCTATGAGAAAATTGTTAACCTCCAAATTCAGATCAAAACACTATGAAAGTGTACAAGAATACCAGAAATATTTTTTATAACAAATTATTACCAGCAATACATTTTTTGGCAAAAAACTATTACCAGCGACGGAAAATTCCTACCAGAAATAGATTTTTGAAGGAAAAGTATTCCTAGAAATAGTGAAATTTTTGTAGGCATTAAATAACCCATTGAAGTTGATATGCCGTAAAACAAACCAAACCAAATCATTATTCCTCAATATGTCTTTATGAGACATTCTAAATTGCAAGTTTTTGTATTGCTTTTTATTTCATGAAATAATGAGAATAGTTTATGTTAGAATATCAGAAAATATTGGAAAATTGTGACGTTTGACAGGTATAGGAATCTGCTAGTGGTTTCTTGTACAATGGAAATACAGAAAGCGACATGTAAATCATCCTGAAGACATACTTTGAATATGACAAATGAAATACCTTAGTTGGAGTCAGGTGCTAATCTTAAAGCTGAGAATCGACAACGCAACAAAATAAATATATAGAAATACAAATTGCAATAATGTAAGTGTAAAGTAGTCAAATATTATTATAAGAGTTGTTTTCACAACAAAATTAATGACAAATAAAAGATGACAGTAAGATTTTCAGAAACCAATACTATCATTCCGAAAATTCCTTCCCACAAACTTAAATTCAAATAAATTTGAGGCCATTCCCATCGCAAATATTAAAATGATTCCCGTTCATTATTATCACCAGTTCAACCCTTTTACAGATTGGATAACCCGTAAAACTTCCGCGAATTAAATCAACTTAATTTCAAGATTAAGGACACGTTTCTACGCAGACATATTTTGCGAAGCATTTGCAAGATTGTGGAACACATAACCTCGTGAAATCAAGGGTCAGTTTTTTTTTTTCTGATGCCCTTATTCTCAGATTGTTTTACTTCTTACTGCTTTATAATTAATTCCTACCAAATATGGAGACTCATTCAACATGACAATTATACTAGTACACATATAGCACAAGTGGATCTAGAGTAGTGACTAGGGTGAATTTTAGTATAAAATGTCAATAAAATCCTTTTTTGTGTAGACGTTCAAATGTTAAAATGCGTATAAACTGAACTGTTATTTTAGTCAAGTGAAGCTAAAATATATTTCAGAGCCGTGAAGACAATTTCATTTCAAACTCTGGAATGATAACGACATAAGTACTATACTATTTCCAAACGTTCCAAATGCTTCGTTGGTTGAATACACCAGGAATAGAATACATGAGTTCTGCATGGTCGTTACAAATTACGACGGATTATTGGTTTTTTTTAATGAAAAAAATAAAATTATTATTATTATTATTATTATTATTATTATTATTATTATTATGTCCTTTGATTTCAGATGCGTACTCATTTCTTTCCCGTTCCCGCCCAGGTACCTAAGGTTAGAAATGTCATCATGACATTTACCACTGGAAAAAATT